CAGACCCACCTCACTTTCAGAGGGGCTGCGGTTTCTTTGTTATTCCTTTTGGGTGGTCTTGACTCCTGGGGGTGGTGGTGGGAGGATGGGGGAGGGGGACAGACTCTTTTATCTAGTTGTTCTCCAGTTGTGTTGAGATATGATTGATATATAATGTGTTAGCTTAAGGTGTACAGTATGGTGGTTTACATTTGTATATTGCAAGGTGATTACTACCATGGAATTACATTATAGCTTCATCATGTTACATAATTGCCATTTCTTTTTTTTTTTTTTTTGTGGTGAGAGTACTTGAGATCTGCTCTCTTAGCAACTTTCCAGGGTATAATGCAGTATCACTAGCTGTGATCACAATGCTGTATATTGGGTCTTCAGAACTTACTAATCTTATAAGGGAAAGTTTGTCCCCTTTGACCAACATCGCCCATTTCGCCCACTACCCAGCCCCTGGGCAGCCACCACTCTATTCTTTTAGTTCTTGCCCCATTCATGTTAGCTCCCCACCTTCTCCTTCTCCTTCTCCTTCTCCTTCTCCTTCTCCTTCTCCTTCTCCTTCTCCTTCTCCTTCTCCTTCTTCTTCTTCTTCTTCTTCTTCTTCTTCTTCTTCTTCTTCTTCTTCTTCCTCTTCTTTTTTAAAACAATCATTATATTTCTTTTGTGGGTCTACTTTCTTATTACATTTCTCTGCTTTTACAAAGAAGTAAATTGCATGGCCTAAATTTATTACTTTTGTTTGTTCATTCACTTATTAATGATCTGAGCATTCACTCATGAGTTGTTTACTGGGTAGTTGGGTGGGTGCTGGAAATTCCAACTCAGAGGCTATAAAGTAAATTAAAGAGTGAGTGGAATTAAATTTTAAAGTAATACCCTCTTATCCAGAGTACTCTTTCCCTGAAGCTCTCACATCATATCGAGTATAATTTCTTTTTGGGTCCTCATAAGGGCTTTCTGAACTTGATACTGGTTGAGCTTCTAAGTGTATACATGATGCACATCGGGTCTGAGATTGTGGCCCAACATGATGCTGCTGTTGGTCACATCTCTCCCCTATAACTGATCTTTTAAGTGAAGTAGTACACAGCTCAGATGCATCATTTCATTATCTATGTGCTCAGACATTTCTAATAGGCTGGCTTGTCTTCACTTGTGCAGCCGGAACGCAGAGAAAAAAACACGAGAGCAAGCACATTTAATTTTAAAATGTTTTACTTGAGTTCAAACAATTAAAATGATTAGAAAATACTTTAAAAATTAATAAAGTTGGAACTCTGAACTCCATCAGAAATATTCTGAGTTAAAAATGATGCCATTAATTCCAAGTGCTAGACTGTTTAACCTGGGTTCTCTTTCTGTGTGTATTAGCTCATGTGTGCCATTTTATTTTAATTCTGGTGGTTTGCCGGAGTCTTTCTGACCCACCCAATCCAGACAGAATAATCAAACCTTATTCCCAGGACTGGAGATTGTCCAAAGCTTCACCAAGGTCTTAATGACTTTTGGGAGAGTTTCTTTTTCTCCTTGTTTCGGGTTCCAAACCTTGTTTTGGTCCCATCGTGCCCGTAAACAGCTTTATATTTAATTTCCACAAAAGCACTTCCTGAAGGTATTTGTGTGTGTAGCCCACTCTACTGTAGATTTGGGAAAGTGAGAGAGGGATTGATATCAGAGATCTAAGCAAAGTTAAAGTTGGATGCTGAATGGACCGGCCTTTCAACGTCGCAGGCTTTGCTGCCGCTGAGCCCGAGCTCCCACGCATCCATGGACACTCCTTTCTCACCTTTACTTCCTTGTCTTCCTGCTTTTTCAGGGCTTTTGCTCTCTTTTCTCTGTTTCTTCCCTCTCAGGGTATAACATCAATTGTTCCCCATGTTTATTTATTTTTTAAATTTTATTTTAAATGTAGAACAGTTAAGCTCTCTCCAGCTGCAGTAGCCAAATGATGGTGGGTGCCTGCCTTTACATGTGGTCTAATTAGAAATGATCCTTTGAGAGGTCCTTCTGCCTAAATTCTCGGGCAGTCGTGGTCTTCCTCCTCATTTCTGTCTGGAGATGAGCACAGAGGTGGGGAGAGAGGAAGGCCACACCGAGAGGAGAGGTCAAAACTATGACTTGGGCCAAGTCTGGATTTGAATTCTGGCTTCACTTCCCTGCTGTGTGGCCTAGGGCAAGTTACTTAACTTTGCTGAGCCTGGTTCCCTATCTCAAATGTGGGGATAATATTACTTTCTTGCAAGTTGTACAAAGGCTAAAATTGGATAACACACAAGTTGCAGGAAGGATAAAATGGAATAAGACTTCTAAAGCACCTGTCTGCACGCAGGAACTCAACAAATGATAGTTTCCCTCCCTTTCAACCAACACATGCTTTCCTTGAGGGCTACATATGTAAACATTAAATATTTATAAATTGCATAATTCAAAAAATGAAACTTAAAAAGGCATGTTCCTCCGGCTTTTTTGATGAAACAAATAATCATCCCCACTTGTCTCTGCTGTAAATCTGTACTTTTATGTACGGCTTATGACATTTAGGTACATTTCTCAGCACAGGTGTCTTGACTGAAGCCCAACTCTCTATGCAGCTTCATAGATGTTGTAAATATTAGGATATTGATAGCGTGCCTAGAGCTGTCCCCAAGGTTTTCCTTGCAGGTGGGCCTGGCACAGCCGAGCAGGTAATGAGCACATAAACACTAGTTAAGGCCTGTGATTTGGTCATATGGTACTCACACAGCACAGTGAAAATGGGTATTTTACCAGCAGAAGTATTTACCAGCAGAAGATGGATATTTTGCCATCTGTCTTGCTCTAAAGCAGAGCAGAGCCTCTGATGGGTAAGTGATAGTTGTCAATTAGGTCTGTTAAACATGGGCTAGGAGAGCCCGTGTGCACCCCACGAGGCCAGATTTTAAATCCTGGGGTGCCAGGGTTTATACTAGAAACAGCCTCCAGTGGACCATCTCATGTTCTTAGGACCAGGAAAGAATACACTTCAACAAAAGAGATTTTTATTTCCCTATTGTCCAATCAGTTGTCTAGGGGTCTGCCAGATCTAGCCCGGGGTCTGCTTTTGTAACACCCATGAGCTCAGAATGGTGTTTGCATATTTAAAGCATTGCTAAAGGAAAAGAAAAATAGGCAAAGGGGAAAAAAAAAAAGAGGAAAAGGTTGCTGATACCTGGTCTAGAAAGTTTGAAATATCTCAGATTTGTGAAGGTGAAATATTGGCTTTTTCAGTTAGTCTGATTTGTGGCAGATGCTCTCTGCCTGTTTGAACAAAGCTCTGTGGGTATTATTTAGGATAAATTGAATTGCATTTCAATATTTAACTGTGACCTGTTATCTCCACATGGGGTTATTCCAACTTTGTTCAGGGAACACTCTATTTGTTGTTCCAAAAGTAGCTCCTATGTTTGTCACCTCCCTCTGAAGGCCCCACCTGTCACTTCCTCACCACAGCTCCCTTGCTTGAAGGTTCTTCTACCCTCTCCCCAGGCCTAAAAGGGGCTGGCAGAGGCCAGCCCAGGAAGGGCTGCAGATGTATTTTGCACGTTATTCTGCACATGCGGAGTCTAGGCGAGGATTTTCAGCTGGGGAGCCTGTGATCAAAAGCCAGTTAAATATATGTGGTGCAGGAGTATGAGCCCTGGGAAGCGGGTTATCTGTGGGGACTGCGGTACATGCATGGAGCCTCCTGCAAGAAGTGGGGCCCAGACTGGACTCTACAGGACACGTACGATTGCGGGAGGGCATAAGCAAAGGTCCAGAGGTATAAGGGGATGTCTCATGGAGTTGACCTGCCTTGGGTTGGAGCTTTTCTAGTAGTGTGAGATGAGCTTGGATCCTCAGTGTGGTCAATTTATGTGCATTTAAGGTGTATGGGATTCTAAACCCTGCAGCCAGTGAGGAGTCATTGTCACTTATTTTAAAAGGAGTGTGTGTGTATGTGCGTGCGCGCGCGCGCGCGCACACACACACACACACACACACACACACACACATACTGCACGTTGGGGGCAGGAGGGTAGTCAAATGGCAGTCACAAAATTGTCTACTATTTGTTACCCCCTATCTCGGTGCTGGGCCCTGGGTTGAGTGCATTACACAGACCTTTTCACTGAATCCTCAAAACTCTGTGGACAAAGGCATTATTATTCCCCGTTTGCAAATAAGGACATTTGCATTTACAGAGGCTACAATAACTTGTCTGTGGTTCTGAAGTTAATAATGGGCAGAGCCTTGCTGGCTTGATTTAACAGCCCAGGCTCTCACCTCCTGCCATCCTGAAACAGGCTCAGCATAAAACATTTTAACAAAACAGAAGAGGGAAGAATGAAAAGCAACTGAAATCCTGCCTTCCAGGAATGACATTTTGGGTGACAATCTTTCTAGACATCTTTCTATATACACAGTGATATGTATGTATTTTGCATAACCCATGCCCAGATTGCCTAAATCCTGTGCCTGCAAATTTTACATAAATGGCACCGTACTATATAACCTAGTATTTTTTTTCCCACCTAAAAGTAATTTTCTAGTTTTAGTAAGTGTGTGTTTAGTATTTCATGTTATGACTGCACCCACGTTCATATAACCAGTACCCTATAGGTCATTTCAGTTTCTTTTTTTTTTTTAAAGATTTATTTACTTATTAGAGAGAGAGAGAGAGCGAGCATGTGTGAGAGTGGTGGGGGAGGGGTGTGTGTATGGGCGAGGGGCAGAGGGAGGTGTAGAGAGAGTCTCAAACAGATTCCCTGTTCAGTGCGGAGCCCAACTTGGGGCTCCATCTCATGAACCTGAGATCGTGACCTGAGCTGAAACCAAGTCAGACACTCAACCACCTGAGCCATTCAGGTGCCCGATCATTTCAGTTTCTTGTGCAAGGAAAGAATTTGAGAGCTTTTAAAAAATTTTTTTAAATTTTTAATCTTGAATCTTGAATCTTGGATCTTTAATCTTTTAATTTTGAATCTTGTGCTTTCTCGCTCTCTTTGCAGCATGCCCTTGATGCTGACAACGCAGGAGTAAGTCCAATAGGAAACTCTTCCAACAACAGCAGTCACTGGGACCTTGGAAGTGCCTTTTTCTTTGCTGGGACTGTCATCACCACCATAGGTATCCCTTTGTTGGCTAACATCTTTTTGTCTGGGGGCCAGCCTGAGAAATGGCACTTGGTCAATGTCTGGTCCTAGAACCCTGGCAACTTGAGGGTCACAGGAGGCTCATGAAACACTGTCGGAGAAATGCAGGGGTTGTAGTGGCTTTCTATAAAAGTCAAACCAGACTAAGAATTACATTTTTTAAAATGAGAGCTAGAGAGCCTTTAGTTTGACTGGACCTGATGAAATGGTCAGAGTGGAAAATCAAAATATGGACTGGTCAGTGGAGCTCAAATTCCTTTAAAAAATGTGTCCTTTTTACTAAGGCTGCCTGTGGAAGAACTCCAACGTCCTACAAAGTTTAATGAAACACAGCTGTCTCTGCCCCTCTGCCCGTCCTCACCTCCCCGTGGCAATGCTCTCATCTCTTTTGGTTGATTATTTTCATATTCATCTCCTTGTCTTTAACTACCATGCTTGTATTGCCACTTCCTGAATTTTCAGTATTAGAGGTTGTTTCTTGACCTCCAGCTGTGGGAGGGGAGAAATTACCGTGGTCCCCTCATTGATGCTTTTGCTTTTTCAAGTTTCATTTGCCCTGGGTCACCTGTGTTTCAGAAGTGGATGATTTTCCTTCTGATGCTGCATCAGTAGGTCTGTAGCGACCTCACATCATGTCACAATGCCCGTGTCATTCAGCTCACTTCATCTCATCACGTGGGCATTTTATCATCTCATAGCGTCACAAGAAGAGGAAGGGAGAATACATACTATACGATATTTTGAGAGACCACATTCACAGAACTTTTATGAAAGTCTATTGTTAAAATTATTCTATTTTATTATTAGCTATTGTTGTTAGTCTCTTCCTGTGCCTAATATATAAATTAAATTTTATCATAGGGATGTATGTATAGGAAAAACATAGTATATATGTCCATGGTTTCAGGCTCCACTGGGGGTCTTGGGACATATCCCCCTGCAGATAAGGGGGGGTGACTCTTTCTCCTTCCCTGTCCCACTGTAGAAGGATTCTCTTCCTGTCCTTCTATCTTCCCAATATAGTTTAATTAAATCAGCTGTGAGCATTTGCATGATTTTGACTAGGTAAATGCTCTTTATAACTCATCCGGTGGTGATCTACACTTACCTCTTTCTTGCATGGATTTTTGTCTTACTATATCTGTGTGTGTGTTTTTATTTTTCTGATTCTTGTGGAGTTTTATAATTTTGTATGAAGGTTAACTTTATAATCATACAGAACAGGGTTTCTCTTCTTTAAGCAGTATTTGTTAGTTCCCTATCCTAGGCGATGATGTCTTCTTCTTCTCTGCACACAATTTTAGTTGACAGTATCCTTTTAATGTTTACTTTTAAGTTATTAAATATGTTTACGGTTCTCTTCAATAATTTGCTCAATTCAAAAGGTGACTCTTGGCTCTCAGTTATTATGTATAATGTAGTCAGTGAACTTACTCAGCATCTTAACTTCTTTTACTCTTGGGCTGCTGATTATTACTCACTGACTGTATCATTCTATAACGTCAGGGTGTATGATTTACATTCTGTTCCGTTACCCTGATACTCACACTTATTTTCAAGTCACAGTTACGCATATGTTTTGTCAGTGTTCCTCTCTAGTCCTTACGTGGCTTTCCCCATCATCACTTGCTCAGCTGAAACTCATTTTCAAACAGTTGCATTAAGAATGACTCATGGAAGCAATATTCCCTGACATATTTTGCTTTGCTCAAAATGGCAGCCTTACCCTCCTTGGGCAGTATGGCTGGAAATGAAATTCTTGGCTCATATTTTATTTTTTGTGGATCTTTTGGGTGATAACCCACTCTTTTCTGATATCTGTGCTGCTGTGGAGACACCTGATGCCAGCCCAATTTTTCCCCCTTTTATAAATGATTTGACCCTTGGCTACTCAAAAGGTTATTTATCTTCCATCTGATGGTTCTAATTAGGTTTTGTCCCTTTTATTTTGGCAAAGTGTTCTTTTTAAGTTCTCTATTTTTTAAAATTTGAATTCAATTAAGTAACATATAGTGTATTATTAGTTTCAGAGGTAAAGGTCAGTGACTCATCAGCCTTATATAACACCCAGTGTTCACTATATCCTGTGCTCTCCTTAACGTCCATCACCCAGTTATCCCATCCCCCCATCTTCCTCCCCTTCAGGAAAGTGGTCTTGATTGTCATCCTTAAACATGTTCTCTGCCATGTGGTTTCAGTTCTTTTCTTTGGGGATTCTGATTATACGTATATTGTCACTTCTTTGCTTGTCTTCTGTGTCTGTCCTACTCCTCTTTAACTCATGAAATGTGGTTTCTGTTTTGTTCGCTTTATCTTCTCTATTCCTTTCCTGTTTTTGCACAGTGTCTGTTTTGCCACATGTTCCTTCCGATTTTATTTTCCTTTTTGTGATCATTAGGACTTTTTCCCCTTCCTGTTTCTTTCCTGAATTCCATTAGCTCACATTCCATTTTCCCTTGTTATCTTTCTGATTCTTTCCTGATTTCTTGCTTTTCTGCTTTGTGGTTTTTCTTGTGGGTGATTACTTCATAGTTGGTCACACTTTTTGTCTGGTTGGGTCTGTATTTTTCTGCTGAGTGTCTTTCATCCATTGTTAAGTTTTTTGCTCTTTCCACATTAAAAACGAAAAGCAATAAAAGTCTTATATTTATGCTGGGCAGATTTTCCTTTTAAATACTTGATGCCCAGTAAACTGGATATTCCTAATCCAGCTATCTGCTACGTGATTCTGGGCTGGGAGGGAGGAGAGCCAGGAGAGGTATGGTAACCTTCCAGGTAGCGCATCCCTAACTCTTCTCTTTTCTGCTGCCAAAGAGAGAGAGGGTTTCCTGCAAAAGTGACCCATCTATGTTATTCTCTGTTTAGTCCTAATTTTTTTGGAACCAGATCAAGTTCAAGGGGGCTTCTGCTGCTCTCTCTCTTCACCCTGTTTTCTACACTTGGTGCAAACAAGGATCGCTCTTTTGAAGTTCAGAATGAGATCCTCTCCTTCATATTGGATTTTTGCTGGCACTTTGAGGGGATTCCACCGATGTGGGATCAGTCCAACTCTTTTGGTAATCCTTACACATATGGGGGAAGCCATGGATAAAATTCCTCTCCCAGTTCTGTTGAAAATGAGAGTTTTCTGTCCCTCTACAAAAGTGTCATCACACTGCAATAAAAGTCCTAATTAAGAGACACAGAATTGAGAGGTGGGAAGATCTCGTCATTAACACCCTTTATGCTCTCTGGGAGGCCCTCCCTCATCTGTTGCTCTCTACAGCAGGTTCTTCCCGCTCCCTTACCCTTTATGACCACTTTTTATGTGGGTGTTGGATAGGGTGCCATCCTTTTGGGATGTACATCTTCGATAATCAACTTCCTAACTGGTGCAAGTTTCAGAGGCTAAGGATTGTTTAAGAGGTACAAGCCTCTTTTATTGTTTTTAGACCTAGCCTTTAGGACCTGTGTTCTTTCTACATTGGTGCATTCAAGAAAGTTATATGCAATAAGAAAATTTGGGTTGCAAGAGAAACGGTATTTCTTTTTAGAAAGTCTTTTAATTTAATTATATCACATGCCATGTTCACACTTGCAAATATACAAATATATTAAGATTGATTATTATAAATTTTGGAGGTTTGCATTACACTAGTAGGTTTGGGGCCCAGGAGCCTTTTGATACTCCAGACCAGACTGGATCGTTTTATTTTTTTCTATTATTTCTTTTTAAAGATTTTTATTTATTTATTTGACAGACAGAGATCACAAGTAGGCAGAGAGAGAGGAAGGGAAGCAGGCTTCCCGCTGAGCAGAGAGCCCAATGCAGGGCTCCATCCCAGGACCCTGAGATCATGACCTGAGCTGAAGGCAGAGGCTTTAACCCACTGAGCCACCCAGGTGCCCCCAGACTGGATCATTTTAGTCCACAATATTATAGCTCCTAGTGAAGGAAGCAGGGTGGCCTGGCACCATTTGGTATAAGGGTAAAATGTGCTATAAAACTCAATGACACCCAAGAGCATCACTGTACTGGATCAGAAAAGACCAGTGTCAGATTAAATTGTATTCATGAGCCTGGTTTTACTAAGATGGGGATATGTGCCATACATTTTAGGAGGATTTATAGTAAAATAATTAAAGCTGAGGAAGTCTGGGCCAGTTCAAGAGGTACATTTTGGGAAATGCGATCCAGTATCCAGTGTTGGATCCATGAGACATTAGTGTGTATTAAAGAAGACAGAAAGGAAAATCCTAATTTTCTTGCTTTATAAAATGGTTAAATCAGTGGTCTGTAGGATGCACTGAAAAACACTATAGCTATGCTGGAATGCCCACCGATGGTATTTATTGTGTCAACTTGTTAGGGTCCCAGGGGCTTGGTTTATTAAACAACAGTGTTTATTGACCACATGACCTCATGTTATGGGGAATGCTGGTTCCATCTGCCTAAAGAGAAACATTTGATATGTAACATTTGCTGCCCTTTGTAGTGTATGTACCCTGGAATCTTTGAGCAAATCATTCGTAGTCCTTGGCTTCTGCTGCCTGGTGTCCATTCACTTATACACTCTTGTCTCCTGATCACCAGTTCCTAAGTGGCCTTCTTCCACAAGGTTGGCCTCCAGGATCAAAGGGATGAATTACCATTTCTAGACCAAGAAATCTAGTGCTTTGCCTGTGTCTGCAGACAGTCCTTCATTCAGAGATGGATGTGAGATCTAGATTAGGCCAATAAGAAATTCAGTTCCTGGACTTTTGCTTAAACTTTTGAGGAAGTGACTTCCTCTCTTTCTTCCTGGAGGTAAATCTGGAAAGAGATAGGCCCAGGAGTGGCAGTCATGTTCTTGGCTAGAATTCAGATAACATTAAAGAAGCAGCAGAAGAACAGCAGCGTGATAAATGGGGTCCAGCTAACATGTTTTGAACTTTAGTTGAAGCTACCTGCAAGGTGTTAAGAAATAAATGTTGAATCCCTTATTCCCTGGGGGC